TTGGTAGCTGACAGTTAGTGAGGATGTAGAGAGTGAAAATTTAGAAGAGGCTTCTGATTAAAGATGCCAGTCTTAGGACTGTAAACAATGGATGAAAACATGGGAAAATGATACTGTCATTAACATCACTTAGGAACTGTTAGAAATTTGTATACTGGGCGGGGCCCGGTGGCTCACGCCTGTAATCCCAGCACTTTGGGAGGCCGAGGCTGGCGGATCACAAGGTCAGGAGATTGAGACCACGGTGAAACCCCGTCTCTACTAAAAATACAAAAAATTAGCCTGGCACGGTGGCGGGCGCCTGTAGTCCCAGCTACTCAGGAGGCTGAGGCAGGAGAATGGCGTGAACCCGGGAGGCGGAGCTTGCGGTGAGCCAAGATCGTGCCACTACACTCCAGCCTAGGGGACAGAGCAAGACTCCGTCTCAAAAAAAAAAAAAAGAAATTTGTATACTGGAGTCAAATTATAGGTTCTGGAGTGACAGTTATCAAAACTATCCTTGAAGTAATTTAAATTAATTTTAACCTAAGTTCCAGAGCCACTGTAATCAAAACTATCCTTAAAATAGTTTAAATTGTTCATCAAGTATGTAGACAAACTCATTCTGAAGTAGGTTTATTTCTTTCAGGTTTTTTTGGTCAGTATTGTTTATGATTGTGGTTTCTTAGGGTGAGGTGTGTGCATGTAAAATGAAGAGATTAGTGTTTGTTTAAAGGCAGACAGCTGCTATAGCTTATTGGAGTTCCCCTCAGTTTGCTTTAAGTATCATGGAAGACGAGAATGGAACTGAAGTCTTCTTTACTCTTTAATGATTTCTAAAGCTTCTGATATTGAAAGCAATGTATTGACTGTAGAACATGCAAAGGAAAAGTTGAACTGTCCCAGATTGGAGGAGATTAAATAGATACAGCTAAAAGCAATATGATAATCCTGAAATAAATCCTAGATCTGAGGACGGGGGTGGGGGGAACTACAAAGGATATTATTGGGGCAGTAGTTTGAATATGGACTGTAGATTAGATAATATTAGTGCATCAATGTTAAATTTTATGATTTGATAAATGTACTTTGGTTTTGTAGGAGAAAATTATTGCTGTTAGGTAAGACATTCTGAAGTATTTATGGATAAAGGGAAATTCTGTCTGCAAATTACTCACGTGTAGTTCAGGAAAAAATATATCTCTGTATATGTATGTGGAGAGAGAGCATGTATGGAGTGTGCACTGACACAAGTGGTAAAGCAAATAGAACACAAGTATTCACAGTTGGTGATCGGAGTAAGGGGGACAGGGAAATTCTTTGTACTATTGTAATTTTTCTCTAACTGTGGTTTTATCTCAACACATATATTATTTTCAGGGGAATGTGAGAAGAGAAAACACTATAGTGATTATTACTTAGGATTTTGTGTTTAGCCTCACAAAAATGGTGTGTCTCGTTGTACTGCTTTACGTCTTCTCAGTTCAGGCCTTTTCTTATCCCAAAAATACCATTTATATGTAACCTGCATAGAGGCCTCCTTTGATCCTGTAAATCTAAAGTAAGTCCTTCTTCCTACCCACTCTTCTTTTGTGTGTTTATTGCAACTTATATCATGTTTGTTTTGTTTTTGTTGAATGCTGCTTTCTCCTTCAAGACTGTGAACTCCATGAGGACAAAGATTATGTCTGTTTTTTTCCCCACAGAATACCCAGTCCTGGCACATAATATCAATACATGTGTTTTGGATTTGGATAAATGAATGAATGAATATTCCTTCCACTTTAGTCAGCATACCTTAGCTACCTAATCTCTGAGAAAACAAAATGCCTCTTTTTAAGCTGTAAGATAAAGCCTATGCTTTTGGATTTGGTATTCATTTACTCATTCATTCAGCAGATCTTTATTTAATACAGTCATCTGATTCCCTGCTTATCTCTAGCTTCCTTTTGTTAACATCTCTCAGATCTGCATGACTTTTCTAGGTCTGCACCTTCTGGCCAGTCTTCTGTCAATCTGTTAAGTGCCTTTCATAGTTCCCTGTCACTCTCCACATATTTCTTAGAAAGTATCACATTTATGATAATTATGCCTACTTTCCCTGGCTGTAGATACTGCTGTTTTGTTTTTTTTTTTAAAGAGTCTGGCTCTGTCGCCTAGGCTGGAGTGTAGTGGTGTGAGCCCAGCTCACTACAACCTCCGCCTCCCGGTTCAAGGAATTCTTCTGAGTCTGAAAGAAGATGTGTGTGAGGGTAGGGCAGGTGGAAGGGGTGATCATAGCAGGCAGGGCAAATAGAATCCTAAGCAGGGAGAACTGCCCCATGAAGACTCAGAGACTTTAACAGCTGGATTTGTTTAGGGAGTTTAAGCAGTGTGATATTTGGGACTGATAAACTGGGAGAGGGGTAGAGGATGAGGGTGAAAAGTTGTGGTGGAAAGGAAGAGCATATTATGCTTCTCTCTTGGGTGTTATTGTCGTTTAATAAAGCATTTAAAATAGTTTCCTGGGATATAATGAATACAAAGTGGTAGCTGCTGCCATGAAAGTCATAATTGTCTTGAGTTTTAAAGCAGCAGAAAAACTTGGATCAACCTAACATGTAGGAAGATTTCTTGGAAGGCGCATGGAGGTTGACGGACTAGTGATTGAGGAAATTAGTACAGGTTGAAAACAGTGTCTGATTTAAGGCAGTAGGGATAGGAATAGGGATATCATGTGATTAAGTATTTAAATGTTAGAATTTACAGGACAAAAGGAAGACCAATCTAGGATAATATGTGAGAGACGGGGTGAATGTAGACTTCATCAACAGAGATGAAAAATTAAATCAAGGAGGATTAAGGGGCAGAGAAGTAAAAAGCTTGGTTTTAGAAACAATAGTATTGAAGAATGCACATAGGAGATTGATTTGAATTTGTTGAGTTTGAGAGGGATTGGATAGATAGTTTAGGAAAGATTTGGGAGTCAGCAATCAACAGTGGTGGTAGCAGCAGCTATGGGAGTAAGTGAACTCTACTACAAAGGTAAGGCGACTGAGATCCCTCCCAAATTTTGGAGAGTTGACTTATCTGCCAAATACCACATTTTTTCTTTGACGTCCTTTTGGGGGAACCTGCCCCCAATATTTCAGTGTAGGTTCTTTCTGTTTTCCATTAGTGTCGGCCAGCTGAGAAATAAAGAGAGGAATTTTACAGCTGGGCTGCTAGGGGTGACATCACATATCAGTAGGACCTTGATGCCCGCCCGCATGAGCCTCAAAACCAGCAAGTTTTTATTAAGGGTTTCAAAAGGGGAGGGGGTGTAAGAATAGGGAGTTAGGTACAAGATCACATGCTTCGAAGGGCAAAAAGCAGAACTACTAATAAGGGTCTAACAAAGTTCGCATACTTCTGAGGGAACAGGACAAAAGGCAAAAGCAGAACTACTGATAAGGGTCTGTGTTCAGTGGTGCATGTATTGTCTTGATAAACATCTTAACAGAAAACAGGGTTTGAGAGCAGAGAACCAGTCTGACCACAGTTTTTCCCCACCCTAGTAAGCCTGAGAGTACTGCAGGAGACCAGGGTGTGTCTCAGTCCTTATCTCAACCACATAAGACAGACATTCACAGAGCGGCTGTTTGTAGACCTCCCCCCAGAAATGCATTCCTTTCCCAGGGTATTAATATTAATATTCCTTGCTAGGAAAAGAATTTAGCAATATCTCTCCTACTTGCACATCCGTTTATAGGCTCTCTGCAAGAAGAAAAATATGGCTCTTTTTGCCCGACCCCACAGGCAGTCAGACCTTATGGTTGTCTTCCCTTATTCCCTAAAAATCGCTACTACTCTGTTCTTTTTCAAGGTGCACTGATTTCATATTGTTCAAACACACGTGTGTTAAGACCAGTTTTCACAGTTAACACAATTATCAGAGTGGTCCTGAGATGACGTACATCCTCAGCTTACAAAGATAACAGGATTAAGAGATTAAAGACAGGCATAAAAAATTATAAAAGTGTTATATGGGAACTGATAAATGTCCACGAAATCTTCCCAATTTATGTTGCTCTGCTGCAGCTCCAGCTGGTCCCTCCGTTTGGGGTCCCTGACTTCCCACAGCATCCTCCTAGTAGCCCTGTGATATGGTTGTATTATATTAATCATCTATTGTTGACTGAGAAATTACCACAAATTTGGTTGTTTGAAGCAACATAAATCTATTATAGATTCTGGTCATGGCTTCACTGGACCCTTTTGGTCTCTGCAAGACTTCAAAGTGTTGGCCAGGGCTGAGGTCTTGTCTGAGACTCAACTAGGAAAGGATCTGTTTATGGGCTTGTGGTGATTGGCAAGTTTCAGTTCCTTGAGCGTTACCAGACTGAGACCCTTAGCTTCTTGCTAGCTAGCCATCTTCAATTCCTTACCAAGTGGGCCTTTCCATATGGCAGCTTATGTCATCAACGCGGCAAGAGAGTCAGCTGGCAAGATGGGAGTTACAATCTTAAGTAACAATCACTTACATGATATCCCATCACTTTTGCAGTATTTTTTTGGTAGACCCTGCCTACACCTGAGGGTGGGGATTTCACTGGAGTATGAATACAGTCGGTGGATGTGGTACAGATAGTTGCTACTGTCTTAGAGGCTGTCTGCCGCAGGTGCCATTTTTATTCCTGTTTACAAAAGAGGAAGCCGAAACAGTTGTCCAAGATCATGTAATTGCAAGTAATGGACCCCAAACCAAACCCAAGCTTTCTGACTCTACTGCCTAGATACTTCTTTACCATAATATTTTAAGGAATGAGAAATTGTTGTGGAAATGGCAGTTTTGAGGAATTGATTGGTAACTTTTGTTTGATGCCATGGAGTGATGTGGGTTGAAGTCATGTAGTTGGTATTATAGTGAATGTGCAGGTAGAAGGGCCTGAGTAGAGATTATTCTTACAGATGGTAGTTTTAAAAGGAAGAAAGGAACAATAACCATATGTTGTTTCATACTGAATTGTTTCTCTTTATAACCAGAAATTTTTCTTTTCCAGTTCTCTGAATTTAACTAGTAATGCCATTCAGTTGCCAATCTCAAGCAAAGCAAACATAAACCAGTTTTAATCTACTTTTTAAGAAAAGTGGTAGTCCTTTTCACAGTGCCTGACGGTAAGTCACAGTTTCTACCTGTTTAGCAGAGTTTAATCTATTGTCTTTAAAGTAATGATTCTGGAAATCTTAATTTGAAAACCTTATTTGCTTTTTCCTTCTCTAATAATTCTCTAAAGGCTTATGTGGAAAGAGCATAAGTAAAGGTATCTACTACTTTCTGGGAATTTATTTACAGTTATCGTTCACCAGTTTCATTAATCTTGTGGATCTTTTCCTCCATTTGTTGAAAATAAAATGGTAGACCATGAAATCTGTCCCCTTTATATGTCATTATTTTAAGATTTTTTTCATTTCTCTTTTTCTTTTGAGATAGGGCCTTTCTCTGTTGCCCAGGCTGGAGTGCAGTGGCACAGTCGTAGCTCACTGCAGTCTTGAACTCCTTGGCTCAGGCCATCCTCCTGCCTCAGCCTCCCAAGTAGCTAGGACCACAGGCATGCGCCATGAAGTGTGGCTAATTTTTTAAACATTTTGTGCAGACAGGATGTTGCCATGTTGCCCAGGCTAGTCTTGAACTCCTGGCCTCAAGGGATCCTCCTGCCTTGGCCTCCCAAAGTTCTGGGATTGCAGGCATGAGCCACTGTGCCTGGTTGTCTGTGTCAGCCTCATTTTATAGATGAAGAAGCTTTATTTTCTAGATGAGGTTTTTCCTTGGGCATGTTAATGGCAGAGTTGTTTTAAATATTCTGATTTCTAGACCTGTACCCTTGCTACTGTTACACAAAGTGATGGAACTATTTAGGAGTTTCTTATGGAGGATTTCCAGCTCAGTGTAGAGGTAAAATGCAGATCTACAGGCAGCTGATGGAAGGAATTAGGATTCGTTTCCCAGTTTGCAAGTAATGGCTACTCTTAATTTGCGATCAGTAAGTTTAACCTTAATATTAATGTATTTTTTATTATGTTAAGGAAGAAGTGGGGGGAAAACTGTCAGAGATAAGATGTTTGACCAACTGTTTTATTCTTAATGTGGAACACTGCGTGAAATATGCACATGGCAACCTTTACTCTAGCTACTGGCCTTTTACTTCTTGAAAAATCAAATGTTTTTTCCTATGGCAGAACAGTTATGCTTTTCTTTTCACTGATCTCATTACTGTTTATTTTTATGTGTTTTAAGCATTGAGTTTACTAAACTGTCCAGTTAGCCATCCTAGACCTCAAAGCCCGTTTTGATATTTTTGTTACTTATATAGTAATACTGTAGTGTGTCACAGTGATGATAGTATTTGTGATTGTAGTTGCATTTGTAAAATTGATCACTTTTCTTGTTTCTTCTAGTAACCGTATCAGAGGGTGAGGTATAAGCTCACAGAATTCAGATAAATCATCATGAAGTTATATGTATTTCTGGTTAACACTGGAACTACTCTAACATTTGACACTGAACTTACAGTGCAAACGTGAGTTGTGTTTCATTTATTTTTTTTCAGTGTTGCGTTCTGTCTGCATGCAGAAAGTTAAAGAAATATTACTCTACTGTTTAAAAAGTAGCATAGTGGCAGCTGGGCTTGGTACTTCACACCTGTAATCCCAGCACTTTGGGAGGCCAAGGCAGGTAGATCACGAGGTCAAGAGATCGAGACCATCCTGGCCAACATGGTGAAACCCCGTTTCTACTAAAAATACAAAAGTTAGCTGGGTGTGGTGGCGCGCACCTGTAGTCCCAGCTAATCAGGAGGCTGAGGCAGGAGAATCACTTGAACCCCCAGGGGACAGAGGTTGCAGTGAGTCGAGATCACGCCACTGCACTCCAGCCTGGCAAGTGAGCGGGACTCTCTCAAAAAAAAAAAAAAAAAAAAAGCCACATAATGGCAAGTCTTAAATCTTTTATTGCAACATATTTTATATATAATTGTTGTCCTTCTCTAAAATACTAATTACATTCTTTAAATTGTGCTTTGTCCTGTTGCCATGAATATAATATTCACAGTAAATAGATCTACCCACAAAACAAACTGATTTCCATTGTTATAAGTACCTATAGTCAATTGCTGTTCTGCGTTTCACAGGCCATTTTTAAGGGAATTATTGGAAGCTTCATAAAACAATGTATAATCACTTCCATGGTTTTTGATCAGTTTATGAATCAATGTCAATAGGTTTATTTTGTTTGTTAATGAGAGAAAAAATAAATTTAATATTTTCAGCCAAATTTAGTGGGACTCAGGTATCTAATAATTCTCTAGCTTGACAGGACAGGAAGAAAATCGAAGTAGTTAAGTATCATTTCCAACGCTGTTTATATTTTTATAGTGACCATAATAGTAAAGACTTGATGGCAATGCAGTATAAATCTGACACTGGAATTACTATAAAGTGTGAAATAATAATCTTTGTTGTAAAAATTGAATTATGGATTTTTTTTTTTCAGAATTAGTTTTCATTAAACTTGGTTTTACCCTTACATGAATGATGTTTTGGAATACAGGGCTAGGAAGGAATCTTCACAGGTGCTAGACTTAATGTAGTTTCTAAAACGTGTGGAGATTTTAACAAAAATTATGTAGCCTGAGGATTTTAATAGACCTGATAATCAGTTTGAGCATATTCCTTTGCTGTGTTATATAGATAACTCCAAAATAAATGTGTCTACTGCCTCCATTTCATAGACTCACTTCTAGATATGACGCATGGGCAAGTTATTTACCTAAGATCAGTCAGTTGTTAGGGAATCCAGTTCATTAAATAGGAAGCTTGTATTCTTTATTACTGTTTTTGGGGAAAGTTTTAGAGTGAAATTCATTAACCTCTAAGGTGTTTTTACATAGTACTACTTGGAAAATAAAATCATTGGGCAAATATAAACAACTGATTTATTTTATTTCATTTTTTTGAAGTGTGGCAGACCTTAAGCATGCCATTCAAAGCAAATACAAGATTGCTATTCAACACCAGGTGCTGGTGGTTAATGGAGGAGAATGCATGGCTGCAGATCGAAGAGTGTGTACCTACAGTGCTGGGACGGTAGGTATTCAAGAGTCCTTTCACACAAGAATGCACACCACCTTCACAGCACATTGGGAACTCAGTGTTCAAAAGTAAGGTTTATTTGCTTCATATATTGAAGGCAATGTGCACGTTCAGTATTTATAACATTTTATTTTGGTTATTTCTCCTTTTTTAAAAAATATAGGATACAAATCCAATTTTTCTTTTTAACAAAGAAATGATCTTATGTGATCGTCCACCTGCTATTCCTAAAACTACCTTTTCGACAGAAAATGACATGGAAATAAAAGTTGAAGAATCTCTTATGATGCCTGCAGTTTTTCATACTGTTGCTTCAAGGACACAGCTTGCAGTGGTAAGATATAAACAATTATTTTAACTAACTGATTGCTTCTAAAAGCATTCGAATCTAAATAGCACAGTAGTCTAAATTGCATAGGAAGCATGCAGGAAGTTTGACAAACTGAAAATATTTTGTGGTTAATCTAGTTTTAAAATTTCTGGGTCATACATTGCTAGTTATTCTACTTTGATAATGACAGTATTTTAGAGTGGAACATCTGTCTTAACATCATTTGGTCACCTTCTTTCCTAGATGTAAATAGTTACTTTTGAACATTAATTAATAAAAGACCTACATTAGAGTAGATACAGACAGAGAACTTACATAGCTCTAAAAATGTATTTATTTTTTCCATATTTATGGTTAGTTCCTGGAGGAGAATCAGGTTTCTTTCTAATATATAGCTCTTAACACTGCTTCTTGCAGTTGCCACGGATTGTTTCCCGGTCATTTGATTTTCCTTTTTAATTTGCTATTTACCTTCTAGTAATGTCATTGACATTAAGCTGTCAGTAGTAAGCTACATTTTTCTTTTAATCATGAAAAAAATGTGTCAGAACCAGTGAAATAGTAGTATTTACGTTTTGTAAAAATAAATAACGTTACCGAACATTTGCTTTAATTAGTAAAACTCTTAGAGATTTGTTTTAAACAGTATATACATTTGTACAAATACCCCCATTTTTCACATAGGATACAACATTAAAAGGAAATAACCTCATCTGTGTGAAACATATTTAATAAACATTTACGAGTCCAAAAGTACTTTGGGAGGACAAAATTTTAAAAAATACACTTCTGTAAACTGAATTTACATAATAGGATCTTTTAGAATTGTTTTTTGATTTGGTTGAAAAGTATACATACTACATTTTGATAGAGAAAGTATTAAATATGGTAATAAGTTAAAGGATAACTAGGCTATATAATTTTCAAGTGATTAGAGAGAGAGAGCAATTAAAACTTCAGCGAAAGAATGAAAACAAGAAACTACAAAGAAAACAAAATGGCAGAAATACATATATCAGGAATTATATTAAATATAAGCTAGCATTATTTCTCTTTTAGTGCATCATATGTAAAATATTTTTTAAATACATAAATGAAATGAGAAAGATGATGATTGCTGTTGAGATCCTGAATTAGTGATCCGAGATTCAAATGCCAGGCATTCTATATCAGTCTGTTTTCATGCTGCTGCTAAAGACATACCTGAGCCTGAGACGAAAAAGAGGTTTAATTGGACTTAACGGTACCTCATGTCTGGAGAGGCTTGGAATTACGGCAGGAGGCGAAAGGCGAAATTGGCCAAAACAAAGGGGTTACAGGTCCCGTGCAAGTTCGAAAACCAGCATGGTAACCAAGTTTTAAAGCTCCAAAAAGATCTCCTTTGACTCCAGGTCTCACATCCCAGTCACACTAATACAAGAGGTGGGTTCCCATGGACTTGGGGCAGCTCCTTCCCTGTGGCTTTGCAGGGTGCATCCTCCCTCCCGTCTGCTTTCACGGGGTGGCGTTGTGTCTGTGGTTTTTCCAGGTGCACAGTGCAAGCCGTTGGTGGATCTTCCATTCTGGGGTCTGGATGACGGTGACCCTCTTCTCAGAGCTCCACTAGGCAGTGCTGTAGTAGGGACTCTGGGGGCTCCAACCCTGCATATTCCTTCTACACTGCCCTAACCGGTTCTCCATGAGGGCCCTGCCCCTGCAGCAAACTTTTCTGGGCATCTAAGTGTTTCCATACATCTTCTGAAATCTAGGCGGTATTCCTCAACCTCAATTCTTGACTTCTGTGCCCCTGCAGGCTCAATATAGCATGTGGACGTTGCCAAAGCGTGGGACTTCCACCCTCTGAAGCCATAGCCCGAGCTGTATGTTGGCCTCTTTCAGCCGTGGCTGGGGGCAGGGCACCAAGTGTCTAGGCTGTACACAGCACGGGGACCCTGGGGCTGGCCCATGAAACCACTCCTTCCTCCTAGGCCTCTGGACATGTGATGGGAGGGGCTGCCGTGAAGGTCTCTGACACAGCCTGGAGACATTTTCACTATGGTCTTAGGGATTAACATTAGGCTCCTTGCCACTTGTGCAAATTTCTGCAGCCGACTTAAATTTATTCCCAGAAAACGAATTTTTCTCTTCTATCACGTTGTTAGGCTACAAATTTTCCAAACTTTTATGCTCTGCTTCCCTTATAAAACTGAATGGCTTTAAAGGTACCCAAGTCACCTCTTAAATGCTTTGCTGCTTTGAAATTTTTTCCACCAGGTACGCTAAATCATCTCTCTCAAGTTCACCTGCGATTACAGGTATGAGCCACCATACCCAGCCTAAGCAGCTTTTAAATTAGTGAAATGCTAGGGCCATGTTTGCGTAAAACAGAAACAGTGGTTCAGTACTTCGAAGCGTTGAGGAAATAAGAAAATGAAATCAGTGAAATAAATGGTGAAAATGATAAATGAAAAACATTTCTTTTAGGTGATAATATGGTTGCATATTTGGAAAATTAAGGGATTTTAATGAAAACCTCTCCAGAGTTTTGGTAAGGTGACTGGATATGTGATAAATATATTCAAATGAATAGAGTTTCTCTGTACTGGCCACTGCATTAGGATAGAAATAGAAAAAAATACTGTAATCTGAACAGCAGCAAAAACTTCAAAATAATATATATATATAGTTTTGTAGAACTTCAAAATATACTTAACAATTTGGCTATATAAAATATTCAAGAATGTAAAACAAGTTACATAAAACAAAGAAATGAACACAACAAATGAACAAATTGTTCTTAAATGAACAAATGGCCATGAAACAAATGACAAGACATATCTCATTTTTAACATAATTATGAACTTACGAACTGTAGTTACAATTGCCATGATATTTCTTTTGGAGCATAGGAGAAGCTTTGAGTTTTGTTTTGGATCTAAAATGGTCTTCAGATTCATATGGAAGGGTCAGTGTCCAGAAATCGCCTAGAAAGTCATAAGAAGAATGGAAGATGGGGGCAAAAATGTACCTTTCCAGATTTATTTACTTTTTTATTTTTTATTTTTATTATACTTTAAGTTCTAGGGTATATGTGTACAGCATGCAAGTTTGATACATAGCTATACATGTGCCATGTTGGTTTGCTGCACTGTGCAGCAAACTGGCCTGGGCATCTAGGCGTTTCCATACATCTTCTGAAATCTAGGCTGTGGTTCCACAACCTTATCTCATCATTTACATTAGGTATTTTATTTACTTATTATATAGAAACAGGATCTCACTGTGTTGCTGAGGTTGGTCTCAAACTCCTGGGCCCAAATGATCCTCCCATCTCGGCCTCCCTAAGTGCTGGGATTATAGGCATGAGCCAGCATACTTGGCCTCTTTTCAGATTTATAAAACACATTGAGCCACCATGCCTGCCCTCTTTTGAGACTTATAAAACAAATTCTAAAGCTGCTATAACCAAAACAACAACATAGTTCTAATCAATTCGTTATGTAAGGAATTAGAGGTGGTATTTCTTCATGGTCCAGGATGTGGTCTCTAAAGTCAGATTTTCTGAGTTTATATCCGATTACCTCATTTACTTGTGGTGTGACCTTCGACTCATTTACCCTGTTGGTGAATTTAAGAATGGATTTTTGTTTATTGAGATATATGCATATTGAAAAATGCACAAACTCTAATTGTACATCCATTCTTAGTGAATTTTCACAATGAACACATTGATAAAAATAGTTTCAGCCAGGTGTGGTGGCTTATGCCTGTAATCCTAGCAGTTTGGGAGGCCAAGGCGGGCAGATCATGAGGTCAGAAGTTTGAGACCAGCCTGACCAATATGGTGAAACCTTATCTCTACTAAAAAAAAAAAAAAAAAAAAAAAAAACCAAAAAAAAAAAAAATCAGCCAGGTGTGGTGGCATGCGCCTGAATCGCAGCTACTCAGGAGGCTCTGGTAAGAGAATCGCTTGAACCCAGGAGGCAGAGGTTGCAGTGAGCCAAGATCGCGCCACTGCACTCCAGGCTGGGTGACAGAGTGAGACTTCATCTCAAAAACAAAACAAAAAAACCCACAGAAACAAATACTTTCAACCCAGAAGCCCTACTTAAGACTTTCTCCCCATCAGTTTTCATCCTCCCTGTTCACTAATGCTAACCAGTATGTTGACTTCTAAACCAAGATTACTTGGTCTCTTTTTGAATGTAAATAAATGGAATAATGTAGTTTCTGTTCTTTTGTATCTAGCCTCTTTTATGCGCATGATGTTCCTGAGAATGATTAATGCTGTTGCATGTATTGATGGTTTGTATTCATCGCTGCATTGTATTCTATTATACAAATATGCCACAGGTTTTTTTTTCTATCTGTTCTGCTACTAGTGGATATTGAGATTGTTTCTAGTGTTCAACTAATGTGACTCAACCTACTGTGAATATCCTAATACATTCTTTTGACTACTGTAGTGTAAAGAAATCAGAATACTTTGACAGTTTAAGTCTGTCTTCTACTTCTGCAACCTCTTCCGTACCAAAATGTCCATAGTTCTTTCAGATTTCATCTTGAAATGGACTCAGTGCTCACTGTCCTTTTTTTTTCCCCATATATTAGCTGTTGTTTTCATGGTAGTTCCTTTCATTTCACTTGTCTTGGTTGTTAAAGCCTGATTTAGACTTCTATGCTTTCAGCAGTGTCTTCTTCCAGTGTAGCCTTCAATCAGTGATATGTTTCTTTTTAATGTATTTCCTGAGCTAACTCTCTGTGTTGAGTTCTTTTTTATAAAACAAAATTAGACTAAGTTCTTAGGAAAGAATTTGGTTATAATTTCCATTTGGTCCTGGGGAGAGTTTTTCTGCATTTAGTTTTTTTTACTTTTAACTTTTTTTTTTCTTAGGGTAATTTAGTAAAGATTTCATATGTTAAAATTTTTGCTTGTGTTTGAGGGAGTAGAATTATTTCTCTACAAGACAGTGTAGGAAACCTGGTGAGCAGGAAGCTGCCCTGGGTCACAGGGGATCCCTGGTTAGAAGCAGAATGTGTATGTATAAGAAAGGGACAGAGATGACTTATTCTGTCCTTCTCCTTAGACAAAATTTAGCAGTTCTAGGGACTTTTTCTCACAGTTTTTCCTTTGGCTTTTTGCAAGTATGTCATGTAAATAGGTATTACTTCTTCTGCTACTCTCTAATTTCAGATAGGGCCCCAAGAGGTTCTTGCTGTCCACCCAGGCTTCTCACAAGGAGGATTCAGTTCTCCCAAGTTTTGCTAAATGTCTACAATAGTGGTGTGTACCAAAATTATCTTGAGACAGGTCACAATCAATTTAGAAAATTTACTTTATCAAGGTTAAGGACACACCCAAGACATAGCTTCAGGAGGTCCTTATGACATGTGCCCAAGGTGGTCGGGGTAAAGCTTGCTTTTATACATTTTAGGGAGACATGAGACATGAATATGTGTAAGAAGTACATGGGTTTGGTCCAGAAGGGCAGGATAACTCGAAGCGGGGGCTTCCAGGTCATAGGTAGATAAGAGACAAAAGATTGCATTTTTTTGGAGTCCTTGATCAGTCTTTCACTGAATACATAATTTAGTCTGGTTCAGTGAATCTGCATTTTTACATAAACAATAAACAATAATACAGAGGAAGCAGATAGGCCTTTGTTTTAGGCGAGCAGAGGTATGACTTTCTGTCCCGCACATGTGAAGATACGCTGTCAGTTTACATTGCCAAGGTGAAATTTAGCAGAACTATTTTAAGTTAAAGATCTTGAAGCCCACAAGAAATTTCCTTGTGGCAAAATTGTGAGGGAGGTATGTAGCTTTCTTATCTTTGTAGCTATCTTATTTAGGAATAAAATTGGAGGCAGGTTTGCCTGACATAGTTCCCAGCTTGACTTTTCCCTTGGCTTAGTGATTTTGGGTTCCTGAGATTTGTTATTCTTTCACAGTGGGTGCCCTTTTTATTTGACCCAAGTTGATCCAGTTTTCATGTTCTTCACAGATTTGCTGCATATATTGTATGTGTAGAGGTGGTAATTGTTTCCTGGTTTCATCAAGATGGTGTCTTGTTTCCCTTTTGTATTTGGTTGGTTTCATGAAGGGGAAGCAGGCAGAGACATCTTTACTTCCTTATCTTACAACTGAAACTGTTAGCCCTTTCTTATATACATATGGAATTAAGAACAGGTGAAGTTAAGTCATTTCTTCAAGGCCAGATAGCCAGGTAGAAGAAAAAGAACCTCTTTTCTCCAAGGCCAGTGCTCTTTACGTTCATATCATTGTACTTCCACATAGCAAACTTTCATATTTTACCTGTAAAGATATTTCTTTTCACCTAAATTTGTTCATTAACAATATTATCTTCTAAAACAGAATGGTCATAATTTTGGCGTGCTTATCAGCAAAATACATAGAGAAAATACTTCCTTTTTCCTTCCATCCCGTAGTCCATCTTAATGATGATGGAACATTTGTTTTGCATTTTCCTAGACTTTGATACACACAAAATGCATTTCTATCTCATACCTCTATTGTTTCACATTTCTAACCAACCTTAGCCTCCCCAAACAAATGGAAGCATAGTATACTTTTTTTGTTGTTTTTGAGATGGAGTTTCGCTTTTGTCACCCAGGCTGGAATTCAGTGGTACGATCTCGACTCACTGTAACCTCTGCCTCCTGGGTTCAAGTGATTCTCCTGCTTCAGCCTCCCCAGTAGCTGGGATTACAGGTGCGTGCCACCATGCCCGGCTAATTTTTGTATTTTTAGTAGAGATAGGTTTCACCATGTTGGCGAGGCTGGCCTCGAACTCCTGACCACAGGTGATCTGCCTGCCTCAGCTTCCCAAAGTGCTAGAATTACAGGCAAGAGCCACCACGCCTGGCCCATACTATACACATTATTCCTTTTTCATTTTTGCAAGGTACTCCCATTTTTGAAATATCTCAAGTTTATTTTCCTGGTAAACAGTGCTACAGTTCAACTTGTTTTACATTTATAAATTTTAACAATTCAAAAAATTTAAACATTTGAATATTTTATATCCTCCATCTTTTGTGTATTTAAGAATCTTCCTCCTACATTTTCTGCATGCACTGCAAGAACCTGTTGCTTTAATGTACCCAACAACTCTTTTACTCATCATTTCAAGGGTGTCACATCTCTTTCATCTGTTTAAAAAAATCTGAAAACATTTTATCATTTCTGTCACTTCATAATTCCAGAGTTTTTTCCCACTCTATTTTAGTGGCTGCGTGATTGATTAATTTTTAGTGACATGGCACATAATCATCTTACTGACGTTCCTACCCCATAAGGACCATCTTACTTCTTATTTACCTTGGTAACTAGATTACCAACCATTGCAGTATTTACAGTAGCTTTTTTATAGTTTGCCTGGACAACTTAAAGATAATCATTTTACATCCATTCTTTTAGGTGCCTTCCCATTCCACCATATAACATTTTCTGTATTATCAGTCTTCTTAAAGCATCTATTTGATTACGTTCTTCATGTTAAAGAGTTCTTCAGGAGGTCTTTTCTGAGTAAAGTCCAATTCCTTCCTTACCTTAGTATTTTCTGGGTCTTTGATCATCTGGCCCTCTTTCTCTCGCTTTTTCCTCCAGACCATTTGTTCTTAACCAATAACACTTTATATTTCCTGTCTTTGCCACTTCATCATGTTCCACTCTTCTGAAGTACTTCTTTCCCTATCTTTGTTCATATTCTTTTCACACTTTGATACTTAAGTTAAATGCCTTCAGAAAGTTTTGACTTCTCTTTTGTGACTTTTATATCTGTCTCATATCAGTTAACAAAGGTAGAATGATCTGTCTTATTTCCTAGCCAACTAAAATATTTTGTGACAATGGACTTCTTTATATATCTCCATATATAAAGCAGTCTACGTTGCTGCCTTGTAATTTATCCTTAATAATTATTTTTATTCCTCATTCTTTGGAATTGAATGTCAGATGTCTGTTTTCTGAAGGTATTTTAACTGCATAAATATTTTCTAGAATCTCATTTAGGGTTACTAAATGTGTTATAGTTATACTAATCTAGAAGTAGATGATGTATTTTAGCTTTACCTTCACGAAAAGTTGTTTTTAACATGTATGTCTTGAGATAATACCAGAGGACAGTGACATTTGACATGGCAGATGTTGATCATTAGTCAAATAATTGAAAGCACTATTCGTTTGTTTTTCAGAGGTAGCATCTTATGGATTCTTCTTTTGACTATGTCTTAGGATACCTGCTCGGAAACACCTCACTTATGTTATAGGTTATAACACCTCTCTTACGTTGAACACCTCACTTACGTTTAGGCTCTCTTTCACAGAGGTAAACAGAGATAAACTAAAACAGTCTTTTGAAACACTTTGTTAAATGTGCTCTAGAACGCATTCACACATACATGTTTGTAAACGTATGAAAACTTCTGCAAACAAACCATTGCCTTCTTTTACTTTCTTTTGTATTCTTTTTCAATACAGGAAATGTATGAAGTTGCCAAGAAACTTTGTTCTTTTTGTGAAGGTCTTGTACATGATGAACATCTTCAGCACCAAGGCTGGGCTGCAATTATGGCCAACCTGGAGGACTGTTCAAATTCATACCAAAAGCTACTTTTCAAGTTTGAAAGTATTTATTCAAATTATCTGCAGTCCATAGAAGACATCAAGTTAAAACTTACTCAGTATGTTTGCCATTAAAATGGATATTTGTTTAAAATGCCTTTGAAATTTATCAGTAGGTTTAATCACTGCAAATTTGTTTCTTATAGGCCATATATTTATTATAACTGAGGTTTATTATTTGAGCCTTTTCTGATAGTGCTTTGTAGGTTATAGTTTTTAATTTAAAAATGATAATTCTGTTTACCATGTATCTTATGAGTCTCCCACATTTCTTTCTCTTGAATTGTTTTACTTGTAATAAGGCCCCAAATACTTTTGAAGTCATTTATAAAACCAAGAATCTTTGCTTATATCTTGTCTAGTAAACAAAAGGCAAGATGTGAAAAATAACATCTAACAGAAATAGGCACATTTCCAAACCCTGGACAATGGAGGAAAATTTTAAGTTCTTTGTAAATATTACCATCCTGATGCAGGTTTGATGAGGTGGAAAAAAAAAACTGCCTCGTAATATCAGGTCAAGATACTCAAAAGGAAAAAAATAAATCTACAGATCCAAAACAAAAAACCTCAACACAAAATGCTAAAGCATATGCTCACAACACACAATAAGGTTATTTTCATGGCTGAATTACTTTGATATTTTCACGTTTAACATAGCCCTTTAAAAAAAGAATCAATGTGTATTAAATGTACTTTTATGCAAGAACTAAAACGTGCCATCTTAAATGAGCATGAAAACACATGCGGCTCGGCTGGGTGCAGGGCTCACGCCTGTACTCCGAGCATTTGGAACGCCCGAGACTCGGCAATCATGATGTTCAGGAGATTGAACCGATCCTGCCAAACGGTGAAACCCTGTCTCTACTAAAAATACAAAAAAAAAAAAAAAAAAGCTGAGCATGGTGGCGGGCGCCCGCTGTAGTCCCAGGTACTCGGCGGCTGAGGCAGGAGAATAGGAGGAACCGCGGAGCGGCAGGTTGCAGTGACCGGATCACGCACTGCACTCCACCTGCTGACAGAGCAGACTCCAGCCTCCAAAAAAAAACAAAA